ACAGTGATGACGATATAGTAAATGAGACCAGAGGGAGGATTAACCCCCATTTCCCGTCATGAATCCAGCTACAGACCCAGTCTCCGCCGCCGCAGCTGCTCTAGCTCCGCCTCCACAACCTCTTCAGCCTCACCGTCTCTCCACCTCTTGTGACCGTCACCCAGAAGAGCGGTTCACCGGTTTTTGCCCTTCTTGTCTCTGTGAACGTCTCTCAGTCTTAGATCAGAGCAACAATGGCGGTGCCTCTTCTTCGTCTTCCTCTAAAAAACCTCCGACCATCTCTGCTGCGGCTCTCAAGGCTCTCTTTAAGCCTTCCGGTAACAACGGAGGAGGCGGTGGAAACAACAACGGAAACGGCCGGGTTAAACCCGGATTCTTCCCGGAGCTCCGTCGTACGAAATCTTTCTCGGCGTCTAAGAACAACGAAGGATTCTCCGGCGTGTTTGAGCCACAACGTAGGTCTTGTGACGTCAGACTTCGAAGCTCTCTGTGGAACTTGTTTAGCCAAGATGAGCAACGAAACCTTCCAAGCAATCTCACCGGCGGTGAGATTGAGGTAGAGCCGAGGAAATCTGGCGTTGCGGAGCCTGTTTTAGAGGTTAACGATGAAGGAGAAGCTGAAAGTGACGACGAAGTGGAAGAGGAGGAAGAGAACTACGTTGAAGCTGGCGACTTTGAGATTCTCAATGATTCCGGCGAACTAATTGGGGAAAAAAGCGACGAGATTGTTGAAGTTAGAGAGGAGATTGAAGAAGCGGAGAAACCAGAAAAGGGTTTAAGCGAAGAGGAGTTGAAGCCGATAAAGGATCACATAGATCTTGATACTCAAACCAAGAAGCCATCAGTGCGACGAAGTTTTTGGTCGGCGGCCTCTGTTTTCAGCAAGAAGCTTCAGAAATGGAGGCAGAATCAAAAGATGAAGAAGCGGCGGAACGGCGGCGACCATCGGCCGGGATCAGCTAGATTACCGGTGGAAAAGCCGATTGGGAGACAGCTCCGGGATACTCAATCGGAGATTGCTGATTACGGATTCGGTCGGAGGTCGTGCGATACCGACCCTCGATTCTCTCTCGACGCCGGAAGATTCTCTCTTGACGCCGGAAGATTCTCCGTTGATATCGGTAGGATCTCGCTTGATGACCCTCGTTACTCGTTTGACGAGCCGAGAGCTTCTTGGGACGGATCTTTGATCGGACGGACAGCTTTTCCTCCTGCCGTGAGAGCTCCTCCGCCGCCGTCAATGCTTTCAGTGGTGGAGGATGCGCCGCCGCCGTTGCACCGTCACGTAACCCGAGCGGATATGCAGTTTCCGGTGGAAGAACCGGCGCCGCCACCACCGGTGGTTAACCAAAGTAACGGTGTGTCCGACCCGGTTATCCTCCCAGGCGGGTCAATCCAAACCCGAGACTACTACACTGACTCATCGTCTCGGAGGCGGAAGAGTCTCGACAGGTCTAGCTCCATGAGGAAGACGGCTGCAGCGGTTGTGGCTGATATGGACGAGCCAAAACTTTCAGTGTCGTCGGCTATATCAATTGACGCTTACTCAGGATCACTGAGAGACAACAATTACGCGGCGGAGACGACGGATAACGGATTTTTCCGGGAACCGGCGGTGATGATCGGCGAGAGGAAAGTGAATAGTAACGATAGTAATAAGAAATCGAGACGGTGGGGGAAATGGAGCATCTTAGGGCTTATTTACAGGAAGAGTGTTAACAAGTATGAGGAAGAGGAGGAGGAAGAGGATAGGTATAGGAGATTAAACGGTGGAATGGTGGAGAGATCGTTATCGGAGTCGTGGCCGGAACTGAGAAACTGTGGAGGAGTAGGAGGAGGGCCGAGGATGGTGAGGAGTAATAGCAATGTGAGCTGGAGGAGTTCCGGTGGTGGATCAGCGAGGAAAGTCAACGGATTGGATAGGAGGAACAAGAGTTCAAGGTACTCACCTAAGAATGGGGAAAACGGAATGTTGAAGTTTTACTTGCCACATATGAAAGGTAGCCGGAGAATGAGCAGTGCAGGAGGAGGAGGCGGTGGTGGTGGTGGAGGCGGCGGGTGGGCGAATAGTCACGGGCATTCTATAGCGAGGAGTGTAATGAGGCTGTATTGATCAACAAATTGTTCATTGGATGGTTTAGGGGTTTAGCTCTATGAAGTCTCAAGCTTTGGTTTTTTTTTTGAATTTCGTTGGTACTTTGGGTTTAATTTCTCGGTGCAATTGGTTTACCTTTTAATGTTAAGGGGGAGGCATTTTCAAACGAATCACTTGCTGTCGTTGTCTATTTGAACCGTAATAAACCGCCTTTCGACCAGCTTATTATTGTTTCCGGCAACATCTACAAAATTTACAATTTCTGATTTAACTAATTTTGATTTTTTTTTTTTCGCCATTTAACTAATTTTGATAAGTTAAGGAGGGTATATTGGAACAAGGATTTGAAGAAATTTTGGTTTTTTCTTAAAATCAACTGTTATTCAACTTGTGATTTTTAAACATCTTCCAAAATCCCTTGTTATTGAACTTGGAATTTTTGTAAAATCACTCAAAATAATTTAGAGTCACTTGTTATTCAATCAATAATTTACAAAAACCATATCAAATCCACTGTTATTCAAACTTTACAAAAAAAAATAAGAAATTACTGAAAACAGATTTTGAGAAACTTTGAATACTTTTTTAGTTGAAAATTATACCCAAAACAATCACACTGGTATTTGAAAGGATTGAAAAAAAAAATTCAAAACAAAACATAGTAAAAGAGAAATCAATCCTTCTTCTGTAGTATATCTCTCATCCGGCTCCAACCCAAACTTCGGTGGCGGCGGCAACTTCTTCTTGTGCTTCCACGTTAGCCTCCGTCTCTGCACTAGCTTCCTCCTCCGGAGCCTTGCCGTTGGTCGCTGGTGGCACCAAAGATTCAAACGAATACTCCAACAATTTACTATAAATCATCAAATCTCTCTTAGATCTTTTCATATGCAAAAAAGAGCATCAAACCGAGAAGAAAGAGGTCATAAAAATGGATTTGAGTGTTCATTATTCTCTAGACAATTTCACTCGTATGTCTTTTCTTCCATTGTTGCTTCAGTTTCTCCTTCTCTAAATACAGATAAAGAAGCTTTAATTTGATCTGGTAGCAGATTTGGACCAAGAAGAAAGAAAATTTGATCGATCACTAACTATGTGTATAGATAGATGAACTAAACATGTTGAAAGAGTTAAAATCCAGTTTTTTTTTGTTCTTTAACTATCCTAAAATCATCCAAAGCTAATAATAAACCCTCTCTAACCACCTTCCTAAAATCTCACCAAATCACCAATTATTTTTCTATTTTTCATTAAAAATCTATAAAAAAATCAACCTAATATCCTAAAAACCTACTCAACTCTCTCAAAAAACCAAAATATACAATGTCCACCAAATCTCCCAAAATCTTTAAACCAATACACCCCCTAAGTTTCATTGGAAAAAATTCAATTGAACAATCTGAGAATTTTGAAAATTAGCCTAACCTTAAATTTTAAAACTGAAAGAGATTTTTGACTGGGACAAATTAACAAAGAGTTTAAGACTTATGTTTAGTAAAAGTTTTTTATTGTCACTGGTAACTAAATTCTGAGGTCCCTCTCTTTAGGCAAAAGCCCAAAACATGCCGGAGAAATAAAAGATCCAACGTCCACCAAAAACTCTCCCATGGTCGTGTTCCCAAAGTCGCTGTCACCCAAACACGTCCTTAAGCTCTTGAAATCGGAGAAGAACCCGCGTGCGGCTTTTGCTCTATTCGATTCAGCGACTCGCCATCCAGGCTATGCACACTCCGCCGTCGTCTACCACCACATCCTCCGACGTCTCTCGGAAGCGCGGATGGTTACACACGTGGGTCGAATCGTCGAGCTCATTAGGTCACAAGAATGCAAGTGCGACGAAGATGTGGCTTTATCGGTTATCAAAACCTACGGAAAGAACTCCATGCCCGATCGAGCTCTAGATGTTTTCAAACGAATGCGAGAGATTTTCGGGTGCGAGCCTGGGATTCGATCTTATAATACTCTACTCAATGCGTTCGTAGAGGCGAAACAATGGGTTAAAGTCGAGTCCTTGTTCGCCTACTTCGAAACAGCGGGTGTGGCGCCAAATCTGCAGACGTATAATGTTTTGATTAAGATGTCTTGTAAGAAGAAGGAGTTCGAGAAAGCGAGAGGGTTTCTTAATTGGATGTGGAAAGAGGGTTTTAAGCCGGATGTGTTTAGTTACAGCACTGTGATCAACGATCTTGCGAAAACTGGAAAATTGGATGATGCATTGGAACTGTTCGATGAAATGTCTGAAAGAAGAGTGGCACCTGATGTTACGTGTTATAATATCTTAATTGATGGGTTTCTTAAGGAAAAAGATCACAAGATGGCTATGCAACTGTGGGACAAACTGTTGGAGGACTCTTCTGTTTATCCGAATGTTAAGACTCACAACATCATGATTAGTGGTTTGAGCAAATGTGGAAGAGTAGATGATTGTTTGAAGATATGGGACAGAATGAAACAGAATGAGCGAGAAAAAGATTTGTATACATATAGCAGTTTGATACATGGGCTGTGCGATGAAGGGAATGTTGATAAGGCTGAAAGTGTGTTTAACGAGTTGGTCGAAAGGAAGGCCTTTATTGATGTGGTTACATACAATACTATGCTTGGTGGGTTTTGCCGTTGTGGGAAAATTAAGGAGAGTTTGGAGTTATGGAGAATCATGGAGCAGAGGAATTCAGTTAACATAGTGAGTTATAACATTTTGATAAAAGGGTTGTTGGAGAATGGGAAGATCGATGAAGCAACAATGATTTGGAGGCTTATGCCTGCCAAGGGCTATGCAGCTGACAACACAACTTATGGTATTTTTATTCACGGGTTATGTGTGAATGGTTATGTAAATAAAGCCTTGGGGGTGATGCAAGAGGTGGAGAGCAAAGGTGGGCATCTGGATGTTTATGCATATGCGTCAATTATAGACTGTTTGTGC